ACAAGTTGTGTGGACTATGGGAGATTTTTACCATAATGACAATGTGTTTTGAACAGATAATATACTAGGTTTCTAACATATTATCTCATTTAAACCTCAAAGCATGCCTATGAGTTCGGTACTATTACCTATATATTCCAATAAAGAAAGTAAGGCTTAGAGAGGTTAAACAGTAGAACTGGGGCTTACATGTAGGTCTGACTCCCAAATATATACTTTACTGCTCACTACTTTTATTTTCTTTTTTATCTTTTCTATATTTAAAACACTTTTCAATAAACATTATAATCACAATCAGTTAATGTGCAGGATGTGCTAATTTAGTTAATTTAGTTCAACTGTGGCCTTCTCTTCAGGGCCTTCTGGAAGAACACTTTCCGCCCCAGTATGAAACAGGCACTCCAGGAATGACAATTTTACTTTGGTAAAGCAATTCCAATTTTCTGGTTGCTTTTAGAAAGCATTCCAGTCCCAGCTCCACCATGCTGCACAAGGAGTGTGAACAGGGGCAAATCACTTACCATCTCTGTGCTTCAGTTTCCTCATCTCAAATATGGGTATAAGTAACTAATTCACTGAGTTGTTAATAGGGATTAAATTAATATCTTTAAAGTAGTACAATTGCTTCTAGAACAACATGAGTCTGAACTGCCTGGGTCCACTTATATGCTGATTTTTTTTCAATAATATACTAGAAAATTTTTTGGAGATCTCCAACAATTTGAAAAAGCATTTTCTTTTCTCTAGCTTATTTTATTGTAAGAATACAGGGTAAAACACACATAACATACAAAATCACGTATCAATCGACTGTGTTATCGGTAAGGCTTCTGGTTAACAGCAAACAGTAAGCTGTTAGTAGGTAAGTGGGGAGTAAAGTCATACCCAGATTTTTGACGGTGCAAGGGACTGTGCCTCTAAGCTCTGCATTGCTCAACAGTCAACTGTACTTAAATCAGTGCCTAAAATGTAGAAATTGTTTAAGTTTGCTAAATAAAATAATACAATGAGAGAGAGCAAAGAAAACTCGACCAGTAAATTCAGAAAAAAACTTTTGTAAGTCATAGTGATTCGGTAGGCATCACCTTTTAACAATCTTAGAACACTAGAAAAGGAGGTCCTTTCTGTCTGTAATTCTCAAAGAAACACCTGGCTGCAGGCACTGTGCTAGGTTGCTGGGGCACCGAAATCAACGAAGCACTGTCTCTCTCCTTTCAAAACTAACCCCTTACTGGGAGACAGAGCTGGCTCTAGGCCCCGTGGGGAAGTGTGCTGGAGGGGCATTCTGCCCAAGGCATTGCGGCTGAGGGACCCTAACTTGGAAATTAGCAAGAGAACACTGATACAAAATCATGTCTTAAACTATTCTTTAAATTTGTCTTTATTAAATGCATAAAGAGGGAGGGGTGGCAGGAGGGATGTTACATTTAGGAAAAACTTCCAAAGTTTATAAACCACGTTGTGTTAATTTTTAAATTTATGGTACTAAGCGTCTTAAAACACTCTTGAGCACTCAGAAGACAGGCAGTGTACTAGTTACAGAAAGAACTCCAAAGATGATTCTATCCCTAGCCTTCAGTCAGGTGAGAAAACACAAGTTGGGAAAACAAAGCATAACAAAAAAATTAAGCAACAATCTAAGAGTTAAGCAATAATAAAGGCAAAAGACATTACAAAGGAAATATATGATTAACCACCAAGAAAAAAGCAGTCGACCTATTCTCCCAATAAATCCCAGGGATATCCAAGACAAAAGGCAAGATTACAGATACATGTCTTACAATCTGTGTGTGTATATGCAACATTTGAGAATAGAAGATTTTTTATTTCCATATACAGTTTATCTCGATTTACAAAAGAGATATGTGGAAAAACTTCAAGTAAACTGTTTCATTAACTGAATCATGTTATTAAGCAGAGAACGTGTGACTTAAGTAATTTAATTCTATTATAAGAACTCTTCTCTATCACTATCACCTACTGTCAGTTAATTTGTTGGGAAATAAATTCAATTTTATATTACATTAAACTTTGTTTATTTCTATCTGGCTTAATTAAAATGAGGTGCAACTCTAAAGGTAACCAACATATCTCATTATCAGAAATTCATGTACTCATAAAATAAATCATGGGGATGTAATGCACAGCATTGGGAATACAGTTGATAATATTGTAATAAATTTGTGCAGTGACAGATGGTGACTAGATTCATAGCGGGGATCATCTCAATGTATAAAAGTGAATCATGATATACACGTGAACGTGGTAGGGTACTGTATATCAATTATACTTCAATAAAAAAAGAACTTCACAAATGTTACTAATGTAACCACTATAAAATTAGAACACTAAGTGAAGTTTAAAAAAACATGATTTCTGAACTTCACATAGTGGTAGGATTAGGACTGGAATTTAGATCTTGAAGCTCCCAGTGCAGTGTTCCTTGTGTTACACCAGAAAACAGTTTCCTCAAAATTTTTTTAGTAAATCCACATTCCCTTTTTATACTTCTGGCTACTTCTGTGCAACATATGTTGGGTAAGAAAAACTTAAAAGGAACATATTCCTTCAGTGATAGTATAAGAAAAGGCAGACACTGAGTTCTTCCCCCTTTTCTCAAGCCAGGTTTGTTTCTATTCATAATAAAAATCTTAAAAATCCACAAAATCAGAATCTGACTAATACATTTGTATAGGATATTTTACATTTCTTGTGATTTTTCTTCTATCTATAAACTAACAAAAGATTAACAGTTAAATTCAAAAGTTTGCCTGACAAGAATCATCAAGAGATGCTACAACTATTAGACGAAAGATTTCTGCTGGAGAACAGGCTATAATTTACTAGTGCTAATTTATTATGCCACAGGTTACTTGCTAATTGCAGTGGGGAAAATATAACTTACCTTAACCCCCAGAATGAAGTGATCAAACAGCATCACAAATAATGGGACTTGACAGTGTATGTCTCCTGATAGCAAGCAGCATTACTTAGTAGGTATTCTTGCCCAAAATGTTTAATTTGAAACTAATCAACCCTTTAAACCTAGCTTACAGGTAGCTAATATGAGGGGAATAGAGGAATTCTCTAAATGACACCATGAGTGAAAAGAACCAGACAAAAGAACCTCTCATTCTGTAAGACAACTGGCTTGATCTCTTAAAAAAAAAATCCACATAATTTCAAAAGATGGAGGTAAGGCTGTCGTAGATTAAAAGAGATGATAAACTTAACCAAATGCAGTGAATAAACCTTGATGGGATCCTGATTTGGTGTGCTTGGATGTAAAAGATATTAAAGTTGCTCATGTAAAACCTGAGCATAAGATTGTATATCAATGATACTTTAATAAAAATAGAAATAAAATAAAAGCTATGAAAGACCTCTCAGTACAAATGGGGAGATTTAAATATGGATGTGTATTAAATTGCATTAAGGAAATATCAATAAGAAACTATTAATTAACAATAAAAAATATAACTGAAAAAATCTAATAAACTCATCAGAGTTTAGGAGTAAGGTGTCATAATGTCTACAGCTTAGTTTCAAGTGGTTGAGCCTAAAATAACATACACATATTTATACATAAAACAAATATGGCAAGATGTCAACAAATGTTGAATCTATAGAGGGTCATCATATGGATTTTCACTATTACCAATTTCTTGTATGCATGAAATTGTTTCATAATAACAAGTGTGGGTAGGGAGAACCTAGACAGCTCCAACTCTACAAGGAAAAAAAAAAACCCAACCTCAAACCAAAGCTATGGGAACTGTTAAGAACCAACACGACCTCAATGTAATATAGCATCTATTAAATTTACCTATCCCTTTGGTAGCAATGAGGTAAACTGGGAATGAAAGCTCCACCTAAAACACTGCTTTTAAAAACTGAGTCTATAACGTAATCCAATTTTTTAAGATAAGTCTTTAATCAACATCTACTTCTCTTGAAAGAGACACAGGGGGAGCATGACTAGATAACCATCCTATAATGGTATCATATTTAACATGACTCAACACTGGCTTATATTTTAACCAAACAACAAATCAATCTGTGAACCATCCACTCGTTAACTTGAAAATTTGACCTTTTCTCTGCAGACAATACAACGACATTCAACCACAAATTTTCTTAAACCTGGTAATATACTAGAGAAAGCAGTACTATAATTAGGCATCAATAGAGTTCTTAAACACTTGCAACTATGCGTGAAGCTTCAACTACTCAAAGGAATTTCTCACGAATTTTCTTCTGTAAAGAAAAATGTAAAAGCTCTTTACTTCTTCATTAGTTATACTCAAAAGAACTAGTGAGAATTTTCAGTTAGTTTATAAACACTGATTAGTCAGTACACACAAATGAAAAGAAAAAGTAACACCATTAAAGGATAACTTTCTACAATATTCTACACATTGAATTTTGACACTGAACTCAAAAATATTGCATAAGACAATGCACAAATTACTGTGTTGTTGCCATTGCCACATAGTCCAGCTACAAATTTTGCAATAAGGAAATCTCAAGCAAACAAACCAACTGCGAGCTCCCTGTATGCAGGTCAAGAAAAAACTGCACAAGTAAAATTTTAACTTTTCAATATGCAGTTTTACCAAACGTATTTCTTCTTTTTGATACGGGGAAATCTTTCCCTGTTCAGTCCTTACTGCAAAAAAAGTAAAGGTGCCCGGAACCACCTTTTAAAAGTAATTCTCTCTTAAAAAGCCAAGAAAATGATTTGGCTAAACTGCAGGAAAACACATCGAACAGCCTACGTTAGCGGCAAGTAAACTACATCTACCAATGTATTCGAATTTACCCCCAGGAAGTAAATTCTCGTTTTCCTCATATTTATTTTGCAAGACGCAAAAATACAGTCCTACAGAAAAGTCATAGTCGAATCAAGGCTTCCCAGTTTACCAGCTGCACGACCGTAGGCAAATGCCTTAATCTCTGAGACTCAATTTTTTTCATCTGTAAAATGTGGAGACACGTACCCACTGAGATGATGCGAGACAATGCACGACAACACTGAATTGAGCGCTGGCTGAACGTTCCACAGAGAACGGGAACTCAACCCTTGTCAACAGACGACCACACCGTGGCAGCGCAGACAAGCACGTTTTCGCCTGCTGCCTGGAACATTTCTGCTTCTCCCAGGGACCAGCTGCAATCTCCCTTCTGAAACCCCTGCAGAGTACGTCTCTGACAGCTACACAGCCCCCAGCCCACTGCGCGGGGACCTAGGCTTTCGAGCCGGGGGCCCGGGACCCGCCCACCAGGAGCCGGGCTAGCACCTCGCAAAGTCCCCGCCCCCGGAGCGGCGCACAGGCCTCCGGCGGCCCCCTCCCCGCGCCGGCCCGCGCCCCCGCCCCCTGACACTCACAGGCACGTACCGGCCGCTCCGCGAGGAGGCAGGGAGCCGCAGGCCCGAGAAGGGGCCGCCGTCGCCGCCGCCTCCGAGCCCGCCCCTCCGCCCCCGCACGGCCTGTCACCGCGCCCCCCGGTCTGGGGAGGCCGCGGGCCCCCGGGGGCTGGAGGGGCGCGCGAGGACTAGGACGCGGGCCGGGGGGGCCAGGCCCGTTCCTCCTTCACATGGAGCCCGGCCCGGGCGGGACGGCGGGCGCGTGGTCCCTCGCGGCCGGCCGGGGCTCTCGGCGCCCCTCGGGGGTGCTCCCCGCCGCGACCCTAAGGCCCGCGGGAAGCTGGTCAGGAAAGGAGGAAGCTGCAGACCGGGCGCCTCCGGAGGCCCGAGAAGGGGCTGGCGCTGCGACTGCGCGGCGTGGGGTGCCGGGCCTCCGGGTCGTCGTCCTCGTCGCCGCCGCCGGCCGCGCGACCCCCGAACGCCGCGCCCAGCAGCCGCGCCACCGTCGTCAGACGCCGCCGCTGAGGGCAACCCGGCCGCCACTACACACGGACCTATGACGTCGGGCGTAGCGCGGCGCACGTCACAGCCGGCCTGCTCGTGCGCGCGCAGCCCTCCGCCCGCCAGGAACGAAACCTACGGCGGGCGCGCGCCCAGCTTGGAGCACTACACGGAGGCCTCGGGGCGCGCACCCGCGCCTGCGCGGTACACGGCTGCGCCCACGCACACCCAGTTGCCGCCGCCCGTCGGCGGAACGGGGATTCCCAGTCCACCTCGGTCCCTGCGCCGCTCCGCCCCGGCTCCAGCTGGGTGCCCCGCGCACGCGCACTCGGCCCGTCGGAGTCTGCACGGCGGGGTCCTTGGCGCAGACTTCCGGGCACAGCGGGAAGGGTCTCCGTGCCGGACCCGGAAAGCGGGGCCGCGGTGATAGCGGGTTGCCCGCAGGGCGAGAGGAGCTGCCACTGACTCCAGTCCGCAGCTAGTCGTTCTCAGGCGAAAAGCCATTTGCTTCTTATTTTTGGAGAGCGTTTCAGAATTTTTTTCTAAAGGACTTAAATTATTGTCGGCTTGTCACAAATTATTGTCGGCTTGTCACGTAGCCGTAAGCCACCCCCCCATCCCCCGCCAGGACATGGGCGCGCGGACTTTTCCGTAAGGCGCTCGGTCTCGCTCTTAGCCGCACTCTAGGTCGGCCCGGCAGATGCTGCTTCTCCAGTGTAACAGCTGGGGAACCGTCCGCAGACCTCAAGGCTGAAGCCCGTGGCTCTGGATGGATGCCCCCGTCGTCCCCGTCTCCTGCAGAATGAGGTTCAAGTTCACCGCGCTAGCCTGCGCGGCCCTGTGCGGTGTCTGATCGCCGCTGTTCTGATCCAGAAAGCATCTTTCCCTCCCCATCTCCTCAGTGGCCCAGAACAGCTTAGTGAACGTTATTTTCTCTCAAAACAGAAATCCAGTAGATGGGTTCCCAGTTGCTTAGGACTGTGAACTGTCATCTCTGCGCCAAATGGATGGATACCTCAGGTCCAAATATTACGACCTCCACACAGGAAAGAGGGGAAGTCATGCTCCACTTCCCTGAGTGCAGAGTATCTACAGAAATTCCTTGGAATTCTTCCACACGGGGGATTTATTTCTTCTCTGTCAGTTACGACTTGCTCAGTCATTTACGTTAGTACGGGCTTATGGATATTTATTTAGGTTGTAATCAATACTACATTATGTACTTTGTTTCTGAAGTTGTTCAAGGTTTGGCCATTAAGTTCAAGGTTTGGCCTCAAGTACCTCTTAAAACTTCCTGTGCCGTTTTCTCCCTCTTTCACGTCTACTTGCTTGGGCTCTGATCCCACCCCTTCTAGCCTATCCCAGACCACGTTTCCACCCCAGCAGTTGGGGTGAGGGAGATGGGAGTGGCACCCACCGGCCCAGAGGTAAGCAACCGCCCCAACTCAGAGGCCCTATCGGGCGGAGGGAACTGGCAGGGACTGAGGGACCGAATGTGCATAATAATATCTGGGTCCCCTTCCTGGAATTTTTATTACACACCTATTAGCAGAGGTGTCAAAGGCACAGAAACAAAACACAAGAACAAAGGTTTTCATTGGCACCTTTTGGTGTTTGTAACAGTGAAAACAACCTACAAGACTGAGGTGATAAATAATTGTTCATCTGTTCTGCAGAAAATTCAACACAAAGAAAGGCCGATACCAGAGGACGGCAAAAATACAAAACTCAACAGAAATCATTTTGTTTCTACTTGTTTAAAAAGTGGACTTCCAAGCTTATGTACTTCAGAATTCAAAGTCTTTAAGATACCTTTGGTTCTAACATCCTAAACCTAGTATGCCACAGAAAGGAGGATGTCCATATCCTTGAGGGCAGGATGTAAATCTTGAACTTGTGTATTGTTTTCCCTATTTCCTAGCCTATTTAGAAGCATTCAGTCTGAATTTACTGAGTAATCTAGAGATCCTTACCTTACCTACCAGACTTCATTCACTTCTGGTTCGTTAGAAACACCCACATGTAGATTAATAATATTCTTTTTTTTCCTCCATTCCCTTTTTACATTGGCAACGATTCCTCTTGCTCAGACATTAACTCTCCTGCATCTTTGGTTATTTTAGTGCATAGGATTACAAATTAGTGATCTTGGAATTTTTTTTCTTGATAAAACCTTCATGTGGCAGATATTCTTTGCCTTCCTGCACTGTGCCTGGGATTGCATCACATCCCAGGAACTCACAGTCTGGTGGGAAGTGGACCATTACAATACCGAGTGACTTGCCCTGTACCAGAGATGGGTGTGGGTGCCACACCAGCAGAGAGGAAGATACCACAGATATGCCTGAGGAATGAGGGAAGACTTCAGAGAGGAGGCATGCTGTGTTAGTTTTTTCTTTCTTCATAACAAACTCTCACAGACTTAGTGGCTTAAAACAGCACCTGTTTATTAGCTCACAGTTCCATAGGTCAGAGTTTGTACCACATTACGGCTGGCTTCTCTGTTCGGTATCACAAGGCTGAAATCGGGGTATCTGCTTCCAGCCTCATTCTAGTTGTTGGCATAGTTCAGTTCCTTGTGGTTGTAAGGTTGGGGGCCCCATTTCCTTTCAGTCAGCCAGCCAGGGCCTGCTTTCACCATCCAGAGCCCACCAGCTTCCCTTGCTGTGTGAACCCCCTTCATCCTTAAAGCCAGCATCAGAGAATTTTTGCACATCAGATCCCCCAAGCTTGTTGAATCTCTGACTTCCTCTTTTGCTTTAAAAGAATTCATATGATTCAATCAGGCCTGCCCAGATAATTCTTAAAGTGCACTATGTCATACAACGTAACCAGAGGAGAACAACTAAATCTATTTTATTCACAGGACCCAGGGGGTATGCAGGCCATGTCCCACCAGCAGGCAGTGATCTTCAGGGACATAAGAGAATCCTGCCTACCACATACACACAGCTGGAATTTGCCTCAGGGATAGTTTTTGCTTGGAGAAATAGGGATGGAGGAGTGGATATTCCAGGCAGATAGAATCAAGTGTGCACAAGCTTGGAAGTGTAAGAAACATGACTGTCCAGGGAATGGCGAGAGTTGCTGGCCTCGGGGTGCTGAGAGAGATGCAAGCAGGGGGTAAAGGCAGAGAAGGAAGAGAGCAACCAGGTGCTGGAGCGTGTTAAACACCTCAGCAAGGAGGAGAAGGTCTAAACCACAGCACTGCCTGTGAGAAGGACATGACGGGTGTGAGTCGGGACGCATTCAGCTAAAAGGAACAAGATACCTGGCCCAGAACAGCTTAGTGAACGTTATTTTCTCTCAAAACAGAAATCCAGTAGATGGGTTCCCAGTTGCTTAGGACTGTGAACTGTCATCTCTGCGCCAAATGGATGGATACCTCAGGTCCAAATATTACGACCTCCACACAGGAAAGAGGGGAAGTCATGCTCCACTTCCCTGAGTGCAGAGTATCTACAGAAATTCCTTGGAATTCTTCCACACGGGGGATTTATTTCTTCTCTGTCAGTTACGACTTGCTCAGTCATTTACGTTAGTACGGGCTTATGGATATTTATTTAGGTTGTAATCAATACTACATTATGTATTTTGTTTCTGAAGTTGTTCAAGGTTTGGCCATTAAGAGCTCTTTATTCTGTTGGCCCCTGTGACCCTTTCACATACCACATCATTGTGGGGTTCATTTTCGTATACTTTTTGAGTTTCCTGACATTCTGCCATTACCAGATATGCCAGATTCATCTTGTGTTTCCTGTCCTACTCCTAGAATCAGCCATTTCTCCAGGGAGCTCAGGAGCTTATTAGAGAATGGAGTTAGAAGCCAAGGTCTGAGATTCTTGGGATCCTCTCTTGATTAAGGACAGTCTTACATCAGCTCCGCCAGCATACTGCCCCTTTTATTTTTGCAGCAAAGTCTGCTAATGGTGCCCCCAAGTTCATTCTCCTCTTTCCATCATAATCAAATTTTAGCTGGGCACATAGTCCCTTCTCCCCCATTAATAAAAAGTTCATTTTCCAGCCTCCCTTGCAGCTAGACCAGCCATGTGAGCAAGTACTGGCAAAAGGGGAATCAGTGGAAATGTCCATCAGAGAACCTTCCTTGAGAGACCACTGCTTTTGCCCCTCTATCTTCATCCATTCCTCCATCCTGGGATACCTACAGGCCATCTTGGAAAGCGAGGATAAAGTGTCTGCACAGGAATTTTGGGGCTGGAAGCAGACCCACCTTCCCAGTCTGGACCGCAGGGCTCCCAACTCTACATAAGAAGAGTGAATGTCTGTCACCCATAACTCAACCTACTGATAGCATCCAGTGGGCTGGAGCTGGGCCACAGGCCTGCACCTGCACAGGAGTCAGCATTACCATCGTGGGTTCACCCCACATGAGGTTTGCCCATGGGCTGGGCCCACTGCCAGGCCATTTCTGGATAGAAACCCAGGTTAGGTTACAAGGGAGCTGAGGGAGGGCTGGCTGGTGCTTAGCAGCCAATGGTGTCTGTCCTAAGGAGCACATGGATAGTCAGGATTTGGGGAGCCGAGCCAAACCCTTAGACTGTGTAAGTGAGCTGTGGCAGGCCTATTAGTAGTAGTATCCCCAAAGCAGTTGGGGTGGAAACTCACTTTGCTGTTTCAGAAAGCAAAACATTAGTAAGTCATCTCTCCTGCTAAAAAGTGCATGGTGCTTCTACAGCCAAAGAAAAGTCATTTCTAGGGTTTCTTCTATCTCCAGTTGCCCCAGAAGTTTTCTGAGTGTAGAAAGAGGCCATGTGACAAGATTTCTAACAGAGGATTGTCTTGAATTTTCTATGATCTTGATCATCTCCTAATTCTTTATCATTGCTAGTATGTTTATTTTAAATTATGTTGGTTACATATTTTTCACCATGTTATATGTATTAATAATAGAAAATGTGGAAAATACAAGGGAGGAGGAAAAATTGCCATTCCTTCTGTAGCTCTTTCTATCCAGTTTTTCCTCTATGTGTACAGCTTTGTTTTGCTGGGCTTTTTATTTTTAAATGTGTTTCTAGATAGTTTTTAGATAGTTGCCAAAATTTTGTATTCTTTCTCCACTTGCACAGTGTAAGTACTGTCGCTCTGTCCCTTATACTTACAAACAAATTTGAATAGCTGGTACGCATGCCGAAAATTTTAATTTTACTCCACCTTTTTTAAATGAAAGATGCTCATAAAATAGATAGAACTAATGACAGTTCTTGGCTGCTGGGGAATCAATAGAGTCCTTTTTGCCCTTAGTGTTTGAGTGAGAGACCACGTGAGAGATCAATGCTAACTTAAATCTGAGAAGTGAAGCTCACACAGGGAATGACTGTCCTTTTCACATGCCCTTAGCCCTTGTCCCAGGGAGAGCTAACTTTTCTCACTTTCATGATAACAATGAAAAAGGATTATGGATTACCATTGGGGGAGGTCTTCCTGTTTCTGGAAAAGGACCCAGAGGTGCTTAAGTTTATGGATTTATCTGAGTTAGTGCATTCTAAGAGTTTCTAGAAAAAGATACTCTTTTATAACATCAAATTATTAATAATCAGAACACCTGATTTTTAGAAGTTGGCCATGAGCTTGTGGCCTGGTGGTCCCCAGTCCCCACCACTGTGGGATCCCACTGAGGGTTTGCTCCTCTCTGTACCTTGACAGCAAACTGAGGATTCTGTTTCTTCCCTTTCTCCTGTTTGTACGGTCTTTTTCTCTCCCTGTGCCTCTTTTTTTTCCCTCTGCCTCTTCCCTACTCTCTGTAATTTACTATGTTTTATTGGTTGTTTTTCACAAACATCCTGAGAAGTAGGTCAGAAGAACTTCTGTTCTCATTTGCATGTAAGGAAAAAGTGGCAGAGAAAGGTTGGATTGCAGTCACCAAGCCCCTGGGACACTGAATGGAGTGACCCTGAGCAGAGTCCATCAGTCCAAACTGTCCCTGGGGCCGGTTGCCCGGTCCCAGAGCCCCTCCCTGATTGCTTAGTGCCTCAGGGCGCCACTCCCTGTCTCTTGTCTTCAGCTGCCCCTCCCCACACCTGGGGCTCCACTCTCCAGGTTCACAAAAGCTTGCTAGTCAAAACCACTGGCTTCCTCCGCTCCAGTCCCACCTGGACCCTCAGCTGGTTTGCAGGACCGCCCTTTCAGGCCACCATTAAGCGGGTGGATGCCAGCAAAGCCAAGTAAAGGGTTAGTATAAGTCCGAGGAGAGGAAATCCCGGGGCAAAATACCTCTAAAAACTGAAATCAATCAAAGGGAGAAATAAACTTTAAAACCCGTTTATTGCTCACAAACTGCAGTGCGGGCCCTACTCTCTTTCCTTCTCTGGTAGAAGCAAAACCGGCACCACCCCTCACCTCTCAGGTACAGATAAGCCCTCCCTCCGTTGCCCAGGTAATTACCCACTGATACAGAGATGAACTTTCTCCTCCCCTGAGGAATGATGCAAATACGCTAAAGCCATACTTCTTTCCACCTCTGAATGCCTATTGATATGCAGATGGCCAAAGCCAGGCGAGATATTCTAGAAATACTACAATTTTACCCACAGGCCACCCCTCCAGAAATTTCGCTTTACAATCTACTCATTCCCCCTCTTCTGACGAAACTAATGACATACAATGCCAACAGCAATAAAATCATGATAATCCTCGAGCCAGGGGATTCATCCTATGCAGATTAAGTAAATGTACTTCACAGCACAATCTCTCACTAAGCACAAAATATGTTTCCAGACTTGTTTACTCATTCCTAACAACCATGCTAGATTACTCAAAACTTTTACTGAGCATTAGACAAAATCAAGCCTCTCTTTAGGCATTTTTTTCTTGACAAAAGCAATACAATCATGATAATTCTGAAGCCAGAGGATTCAGCTAGGTTCAAAGTCCCATGCAGATTAAGTCCGAAGCTCATCCATTCCAGCCATCATGCAGCAGCTGCAGCCATGGAATGCATCCAGGACACAAGGGCTATAGAAGCAAATAACTGTGATTTTGGGGGGCCACTTTGCTCTTACTCCAGGACTACACAGGAGGCCAGCTTCCAGGCCTTTTCCCCAAGGTGCCAGGAGAGCCAGCCATCACTGATCCATGTGTTGAAATGTCCAAGGCCACGTCCATTTTATTCCTAATTGCTGCACCCATCCTTGCAACACATGTCCAATAAAGTGGGTGCTTTGATTGCTCTTAATCACCTGTGGCCTGCCGTTGGCTGCAAAGAGACGCTCTAGGCTCCTCTCGGTGGTTTGCTGATCTGCAAAACGTGCAGGGAATTCCTTCTGGGCTCAGCTGACTTCTTCAAAGGTCAATGGAAAGCCCCGATGGGTTACAGCTCACATTGTCTTTTGCCCCATGTGCAACAAACACTGATGTAGCCATTGGCCACGTGAGAGGCAGGCTTTCCTTCTAGCCAGTGCACCTGGGCCAATGCGTCTGCTTCATTATTCCCTGGGGATGCCAAAGGCAAATGTCCAGTCACACGATATACAGTAGGTGTCTGTGCCACACCACTCCGTGGCCTTTGGGTCCAGTCTCTCACCCACCCTGCAATGGGATAGGAGGTTATTACCTTGGTCGGAGCCGTTCCGGCAGTGGGCTCCGTAGCCAGCAAGGTGTGGTACACAGCAGCCAGTTGCTTCTCTGTCAAGGTGACCCGGACCTCTGCTCCTTTCCATAGTGGTGACCAGGCTCCAGCAGCAGGTGGAGCAGCAACAGTGGCAGAAGCAGTAGCCTTAGGCTCCAACCATGGGCTGGGGAGGCACGGCCAGCAGTGGTGGTGGGACCTCCACGACCACACGAGTGTAGACACATGTCCCTCAGCATGAGCACCACTCTCCCCATCATTTATAGGGGTGGCCCTCCCAAAGGTCGCACCCATTATAATGGATTTCCAGGTTCAGAGAAACCCTGCCAACTACACCAGATGTAAGTCCGGGGAGAGGAAATCCTGTCGCAAAATACCTCTAAAAACTGAAATCAGTCAAAGGGAGAAATAAAGTTTAAAACCCGTTTATTGCTTACAAACTGCAGTCCGGGCCCTTCCCTCTTTCCTGCTCTGGCAGAAGCAAAACCAGCACCACTCCTCACGTCTCACATCCTCCATTGCCCAGGTAATTAGCCATTAATATGGAGATGAACTTCTCTCCACCCCTGAGGAATGATGCGAAAGTATTAAAGTCATACTTTTTTCCACCTCTGAACGCTTATTGATATGCAGATGTACCAAAGGCAGGCGAGATATTCTGGAAATATTACAATTTTACCCACAGTCATCCCCATCCTTCTGGCACATCCTACCCCTCAACCCAGAAGGAGGTGGCTCCTTCACAGCTGGTTCCTACGATTAAGTCACAAGGGCTGGCAGCTTTTCTCCATCTAGAGGCCTGGGTCTTTATCCTGGGCCAGACTCGTGGAAGCTGAGTGGGGCAGGGTTCAGTGCCTCTAGCCCGTGGTTCCTCCCGACAGCTGAGGCTTTTCAGTCTCAGGAGGTTCCCTTTGGCCGTCCTGCCACCACTGAGCCTGCTAGCTCTGCCCAGTCTGAACCACAGAGAACACTAGAGTTGGCAGAGGTTGCCGTCGGCTCTTCTCAGCCTAGCTCACCATGTCCTCATCTGGAAGACAGAGAAAGGCTGCCTGCCCCAGCACTGGGGCGGAAACCAGCAGGGTAGGGCACATGAAAGCCATTGAGAACATGACACTTGCTCCCACCTGCTGCCCACAAGAGGCAGGCACTGCCATTCCCAGCAAGCCCTCCAGAGCAGAGGGCACCCAAACACGGCCAGAGGACTGAAATATTTTCAGGGAGACCAATTCTGAGACTGGGCCATGTTATCAGTCACCACCTCTTAATTCCTGGAGTTCACTCCAGTGACCAGCCTTGAGCACAGCACAGGGTGTGTGCCAGGATAAATCTGTGCAGCTTCCTGTCACCACAGAGACACAATCTTTAGAGCCCTTGAGACCCTCTTTCCCCTGCTGTGCCTCCTCCCGCTCTGTATCCTTGAGAGTCAGCCTCACATCCTCTGCCCCAGAAGTAATTACTGCCAAAAAAGAGAAGAGCCGGAAGACATGACACCTCCCAGCAGCTTTATAAATTTATGAAGTTTGTAAAGACTTTTCTTAACAGAGAAACTGCACTCCTGGTCGGCCTGGCCTGGGTTCCCTCACCCAGTGAACTGGCACCAGGCTGCTGCCTGATTTTGCTGAGACCTTGCTAACAAGTCTGCTCTCATGGCCTGCCTTTCATCTAACCCTGCTGCCTAAAATCTGCAGCCTGAGGGGGCCTAGAAGTCAGCATCCAAGGAACAAGGATGCCCGGCCTTCCGGTCTGGGTCTCTGAGGCATTCTCCACTAAAAGGGCCTGGGGCCGACGCAGCGGTACTAGAGTGGAAAGTCTTACACCACAGGGTAAGGAAGTGCTCAGAAAATCACCTGGTTCACCGTGTTGACAGAGGGATCAACTTGTTGAACATTAAACCAATAATATTCATGGGTTATATCCCATATAATAAAACAGTCCAGGAGGCATACTGATATAAACACAAATGAGGAAGAAAGGAAGGCGCTCCCTCCCCAGCAGGAGAATGCCAATGAAGAGATGGGGGAGGGGAGGTGTTAGGAAATGCACAGTGGATATTAAACCAGTGGGTGAGGGCTTGGTGAGGAACAGGATACTTAACTCTCTAAAGTCTCTCCTGTCACATTACTAATTACAAAGGGAAAGTAATAACTTTACAGTGCAGGCCTGGCAAACACCACCTTTACTGAAAGGAAGCAGTCCCAAACCCTGCAGACCTGGCACTTTGGGCTTCCAGAAGTCAACCTGCTGAAATGCCTTCAAAGAATGACCTGCGACCCTGTGGGCAGTGTCTGTGTACTTATGCAGCTATGAACCTGACACACCGAAATTCAGCCCATGTACACATTACGACAGTGACCACTGAACAACGAAGGGCACTTAACTCAAAAATACATAGTCCTATGGGTGACCACCTGGGCTTCAATCTTTTCATTTGAAAATTGGAGATAAAACCTATTGAATGAACCAACCATTCCACTGCTGAGTATTTCCTTAAGAGAAAAGAAAAACGTGTCTACACAGACTTGTCCCTGTACATTCATAGCTGCTTTTCTCATAATAACCTCAAACTGGAAACAAACCAAATATTCAACTGGTTAGCAAAGAAAGCAACAAACCAATGATAACGGATGGATTTCAAAAGCATTTGCCAAGTGAAAGAAGCCAAAGACTATATGTAATATGTGATTTTAGACCTACAGAAACGTCTGAGAAAAGTAAAACCAGCGGTCAGTGGCTGCCGGGGGCCAAGCGTGCAGGACTCTCTGCAGCAGGGTGAGGGAGATGTTCTGTCAGGAACGTCGTGGCTAGAGGAGTGTGTACTTGTGTCAGAACTCATTGTACACATAAATTTGGTGAATTTTGTTGTATGTAAATTAAGCCTAACAAAGTTGATAAAAATTAATACATTACAGTGCCATTGTGAGGGTTAATAGGATGATACCTACGCAGTCCCCAAGTTTCAGGGCCTACCAGAGGAGTCCTAAATAACAAGCCGTTACCATGGGCTCGGTCCCCGGCATGAGCAGAACAAGTGTGCAAGCAAGGGCTCTCAAGAAGGCCTGCAGCTCCACTGAGGACGAGGCAATGCGAGGCGGAAAAGCGCAGGCGCGCGGAGAGGTGCCCGGGGGGTCCTCCGACTGAGGTCCCCGCCCCTCCCGGCCCTGGGAAGCGGGCGTGCGCTCCCGCGCCGGGGGGCGGCCTCCGCCGGCCTCGGATTGGCTCGGGTGGGGCGGAGGGGGCACGCCCTGTCGGCGCCCGGGTGAGGGTCCAGCCCGGCGGCCGGCTCCGCGGAGCGCGCCCCTCCAGCCCGACGCCAAGCCGGCTGCCCCCGTAGCAGGGCCTGCTGAGGGGCGGAGGGGAGACGCGGAAAGCGCGCGCGGGGGCCGGGCCCCACTCCCACAGCCAGAGATCGCGTTTATTTGTATATGTTGTGCCTTACTGCCTGGCAACCGGGTCTCAGGCGGAGTGCCGGCCGCGGAGGACGGGTCGGCTTGCCGGACTGGTCTGGCTGACTCATCGCTGCGCGCCGGCCCCTGGGACGAGGTCCGCGGGCGCACGTCGTTTCCGGCGGGGTGCCGGCGGCGGGGCGCCCCTTGCGGCGGGATCGCGGCCTGGAGCAGCGCCGGCTCCCCCACGGAGCAGGGGCCGCCGCTTCTGCCTGGCTGTGTGCGTAGCCTTGAGCAAGTCGCGTACCCTCTCTGGCCTCTGCCTCCTCATCTGTAAAAGGAGATGCACGAGCACCTCAATGTGAGACCCCGTAGGGGTGCTCACCGCGGACTCCAAACTCGCAGCCCATTCACCTCCCCCCCCCCACCTGACCGTGAGGAACCTGCAGTCCGGTGCGAGGCTAGGTAACTTTGCTAGCTGCCTGATGTCCAAGTGGAGGAGGCAGGGCTCAGCTCGGGTCCGTGGGGTCCAGAGGCCCGTGTGTCTGGTCGCCAGCCCCCCCCCCCACCGCACGCGCCCAAATGCCTGCCACCCCAGGGCTTCAGGCCCGAGTCCCCGGGCTCGGCCCGGTGTGGCCCTCCAGGGCGGTCCTCAGAGGACGAGAGCTGGGAATGCTCTCTGCTGTCGGCGCCCTGGCTGAGTCAGAAAAGCGCCCGTGGGCCCTGCAGCGGCGCGGCCGGGGGACGCCGCTGCCCTCCTGCCCCAGCCTGCCTGCTCTTGCGGTCAGCGGCTCCCTGGGGACCCCAGCTTCCCTGTTCTCTACCGGAGTCACTTCCCAGGCTGTCTTCCAAGTGCTGTGGTGTCCGATTCTGACCACGTTTCCTTCAGTCGGTGTAAAGGACGTAAGTCCGGCCACTTCTCAGGGCACTTGTTCCGCCACCGCCAACAGAACGGCATTTAAAGTGCGCTGCGGGTCGGGCAGACAGGGCCGCCCTCGGGCCTCCGCGCCTCCAGCCGCAGGTCATTCTCACCCGCTGATCTGCAGGCCCCAGATCCTCCAAGCAGCCCCCGCGCGGTGCTCCTTGGCCCTCTGGGGCCTGCAGGTACAGGTCCAAGGCCTGCAGCCCCCCAGCCCCCGCAGGCCCCCACAGGTGCTCTCCTGAGGCCCTCCCCAGCAGCACCATACTCGGACAAGGGGGAAACAGGCTCAGGAAGTGACTTTTCTGGGGTCGCACTCCCATCCTGCCAGACTCCACCCAGACTTTCCCACCCTGCACAACTCTGACTGCAGGGCCTGTGGGAGACAGAGCACCCTGAGGGTATGGCACCCTCCTGCCTCTGCCTACTGAATCTGCGGGTGCTTGAAAGGAAGCGGGTGAGAGGGCAGACGACGGCCAAGACAGGGTAGATCTTACAGTGCCAGAGGTCTCCAACGATAAAAATTTTGGGGCCATTGAATTAGGGCAGAGAAACCTGGTTCAAGGCCCTCAGCCTAATTTCATCTAGCTTTTGGCACTTCTACAGATCTACTCTTATTACTCAGAGCTGTTTCTCCCTAATAGCAAAAAAAATGTATTGTTTTAAAGGTCATAAGTAAATGTATCCTGAAAGGCCACGGCATTTGGGGCACTCACTTCACTTCTCAGGGCTTCCATTTCCCTGTTTATACAATAAGAGAGAGATTGGCCCAGAGGTGTGTTTTTTCAAACTGCAAGTCCTGATCCATTCATTAGTAGGTTGTGAAATCAAACTAGCGGCGAATAACCTGTATGGAATAGAAAATACAATGTCTCACACATAGCAAGAGTGAATGTTGTGTTGTGAATTTGTTTAAGTTCCATATGTGCCTGTATGGTAGGGCATGTTGTTAAATAAATTTTTTACTTTGTATATATTTTTCACATGTGTAAAATGTATTTTTACAATCAGGAGAACTTAAAAGCACCTCTCCCTCTGTTCTCCAAGGACTCTGTCATTTGGAACTGGAGCGCAGCTGGAACCCCCTTCCGCCACTGTCCATCCACGCCCCCTCCATTGTTCTTCAGTTTCAGAAAAGGGAGTGATAAATACATTGTTAAAGAAAAAAATAGGAAAGTAGATCTTTTCTGTACAGTTTTAAAAATAATAGATGCTTATGGTTTTAAAAAAAATTCATACAGTACTGATGCAGGGGAGAAAAGAAGAGTCCTCTCCCTCCCAACTCTGCGCCCCAGGTGCACCCCTGAGGCAAGGTAGCATGGAGCCCAGTGCATGAAGAACAGAAGAACAGGGCTGCTGCTCTGATCCCCACTCTCATTTGCATGGAGGCTGTGCTTTCCACAAGGGCTCCCAGCCAAAGACCGAGCAGCCAAGACACCATCCAGGGGCTGGCTCTGCTGTCTCCACAGCTGGTTGTCACCCTGCCTCTCTGGAGCCCAAACCCTGCAGTGTGCCCCACTCCTTCCCAAGCTGCCCCATTCTACACTTTCACTTAACAAAGTTAAATCTGACATATGCCTGAAGGTTACTTTCGGAATCCCATTCTCCGATACAGTAAACCAGGGGTCCTAGAGACACGGCTGATCCCAAAGCGGGGGCAGGGTAAGTAGCAGATGGGCTTGCAGCATCTTGTGCTCAACAGTAAGGAAGTCCTCAAAGCACGATGGGGATGTGTCAGAGGACACAGGCACCAACTCAGGGGACTTCGCAGTAGCCAGAGCTCGTACAATGTCAGCAAAAATAATTAAGTAATGGATTATAATCCACAGAATGAATATTCAAGAGTCCATGCATACAGATATAAAACGGTATAAATAAATGGGGGAAAGAGACAGCACTCTTACTGAATTCCAATTAATAAATGTGGAAAGAAAAGGCACCATTTGATAAAAACCAAAGTAATAATTGTTGCAAGCAAGAATTATCTACAGATAGTAAAATTGGGGGGAAAAGGTATGGTGAGAAGCAGGATATTTACATAAGCATACAGCATCTCCCCACAGGACGTTTATTAATTACAAAGGAAAGAATAACTTCACAATAGAGAAACCTCAGGGATACATGACATTAACCAAGTGATCAGAGTTACCATAACCAGTACTCAGACACATCAACACACCTGATCCGGTGCCCTAAGAAGGGCACTGCATCACTTCCGTGTTCTTACCCAAAATGCATAACCTCAATTAGTAATGAGAAAATATGAGACAAACCCAATGTGACATTTGTCCTACAAAATAAGTGGCCAAAGTGTCATAGTGACAAATAATTGGAGGCAGCAAAGGAGACAGGACAGCTAAGGGCCCTGTGGGATTCTGAATGGGGTCCTGGACCAGAAGCAGGACATAAGTCCTGAAGCACGGACATCTGGCAAAATTAAAATAAGGCCAGTGCACGGGTTAAGAGCATCCCATCGCTGTGAATTCCCTGGCTTTAATCCTTACGCTGTCATTATATGAGCCATTAACATTTGGGGAATCTGAGTGAAGGGCGCTATATGTTTTTGTTAAGTTTAAATATTCAAAATTAAAAGACAGTGCTGACAGACAGTGTCAGGATGGCAAAGAACTGTCAAGTTCTGACTCAATCACTGTCAGGGCTGCCCAGAACAAGAAGGATTTTGAGGCTTCACCCTCTCCCAGGGGAAGGTGCTGAGATGAGCCGGGGTGTCTGTGGGGAGGAGAGGGTGGGCGTAGTAGGAGGGAGCAGAGAGCATGAACTTAGGGGGGCTAAAAGCACAGGACTTCTGCCTCTGTTCCTGACACCTTTTTTTTTTTTGTAGGTTTTAAATGTTTTTAAGTGAAGATTTTAAAGTAGTGTAGGTGCGACAAGAGTCAAATAGCAGCCAAGTACAGCGGAAAGTCAGTCCTCTTCCTGTCTGCAGGTCCTCGCCGCCCCAGGGCCCCAGGTAATCAGTCACTAGGATTCGGAGCACATCCGCATAAATGATCAGGCCTGGGTGTGTGCTGCTCAAGGAGGCTGGGGCTCCCCCTCTCAGGTCAAAGGAAGTCAAGGAGACAGTCAGGCAGCCCCTGCGGACAGGCGGAGGCGGCCTCCTCTTACTGAAGAACAGAAGACAGACCTGTCTGGAAACCACTAGTTGCTACCAGAGGTTGGACCCTATTAGTAGGTAGTAAAATCCACTTAGTGTTTCCTGGTCATCATTAAAAAAATTTTTTTATTAAGGTATTACTGATATACAGACTGACAAATAATTGGAGGCAGCAAAGGAGACCTTCCTAAGATGGGGGCGGGCCGGGCTTGAGGGCCCCGGGAATGTGGGCCACAAGCCTTCTGTAAAGCAGTCAGCGAACATTTTAGGCTTTGGGGGCTCTACAGTCTCAGCGCCGAGCGCTGCCGTTCCAAGTTTCATGAATACTGACATTTGAATTTCATATAATTTCCATTTGTCACATAATACTCATCTTTTGGTATCTTACAACAATTAAGAAAAGTAGAAGCCATTCTTAACTCCTGAGGTGAACAAGGAGACTTGGCTTTCCCGCCACAGGTTGCAAACCCCTGCTTTAGAAGTTGCCCTCCCTCCCCTGGGCCCGCCCCGGGCTCACCCCTCCGCCCTGCCGGCTCGGTGCTGTCCTCTCCCCCCCCACCCGCGGGCCCTTTTCCGGGGCGGAGTCGCGGCGGCCGCGGTCAGGGGGTGCTGACTCACCGGCTGACTCAGCGGGAGGCGCGCGGCCCGCAGACGACAGTGGGGCGGCGGGGGCGGGGGGGCGGCGGGGGCGGGCCGGCCTTGAGGGGGCGGGGCCACAGGGAGGCGGGGTGGGCCGGAAGGGGCCGTAGTGGGCTCTGTGTTCCGGGGCCGGCGGGGCGGGCCAGGAGAGGGCGGGGCGGCGGGGGCCGCAGGGGCCACTTACCCGCCCACTGACACGCCCCGCGGTCCCGGGCGGGAACTCCGCCTCCAGGAAGCCCTCCAGGAGCACCTTGTCGGGGCCGGTAGGACCCGCCCTAGGTTACCTGGGGGAATTCACATCCTGGCTCCTGCGACGTTGCCTTCTGCCGCTCTTTGGGTCTAGCTTCAGCTCCAGATGGCGTCTTGAGGACATCCACCGGGTCTCAGTAGGCTCTGCATTCCAGGGGCTTAGTAACCGCCTGGGCAGCAGAGGGGTGCGGACGCGTAAATCGGGCGAACAACTTTGGAAATCCCACGTGGGACACAGCCAGACCAGACCCCCAAAACCCATAATAATGCAATGTCTAAAAAATGCTAGGATTGGTAACAACAGCAATGAATTAGTAGTAGGACTAATTAAACAAAGGTGTGAGAAAGAAATAGTTTTATGTTTCCATCCTCCTATACAACAATTTTAACTCCTTATCGGACACAAACTTTGTTTTAAGATAAATACATGAAAAAGGCTACAAACGGTATGATTCTCAACTGTATGACATTCTGGAAAGGGCAGAACTGTGGAGGCAGTAAAAAGACCAGCGGTTACCAAAGGGTGAGGGGAGGCAGGAATGAATAGATGAAGCACAGAGGATTTAAGGACAGTGAAAATACTCTGCATAAGGCTGGAGTGTTGGATACATTCCATTGTCCAAACCCATAGAAGGTACATCAAGAGCAAACCGCAGTGGAAACTATGGGCTTTGGCCGATTTTGATGTGTCTAGTGTAGGTTCATCAGTTGTAACAAACATCCCACTCTGATGGGGGTTGTTGATAATGGGGGATCTGTGCATGTGTGGGGCCGGGCACATGGGAAATCTCTGTTACCTTCTCTTCGACTTTGCGGTGAACCTACAACTATTATACAAAAATAAAGTTTTTTTTAAAAAGATACATACATGTAAGACTTTTTGAAAGAAGAATGTAAATGGGGCTCATTAAACATATTACCAATATTTAATGAAAATAATGTCCTTTCTGTCCTGTTATACAAAGGATATTTTTACCTCTTCCTGTTCCTTTTCCGTCAGACTCTATGAAACCCTTCTTTTATGTAGTGATCAAACTGAACAGGGTCAAACATAAAATCCTTTGCCTTGCAGCCTGCTCTTTTTAAGCCCATCTTACACTGATTCCTGCCATCCGTCCAATGTGACAGCAGCAAGCTAACCATCCTCTCAACAAAATCATCTGAGCATGGAATACATAGGATCTCACCAGCAACAGCAGGTTTTTACACTTGTAGGGATTAGTTTCCAGCTCTCCAAAAATGACCACCCACTTTTTATCTGTAGGC